TGTAATCATCCCTTTCTTTAGTTAATCAACCGTTCTTTGGTTAAAATCAATTCTTTTCTTTCCCATTAAGGTCGTAATCCTTTTTTTGGTAAATCACAGTCTTCCTATTAAACACCGAGTCCCTAGAGGAGTTCACAACTTTATTTTGGTTATCTCTCCCTTTTCATTGGTTAACCACCGTCTGTCAGTTAAAACACCAATTTTCTCATTTTTCTAGTTAATCACAATCTGTCTGTTAATATACTGAGTTTTCTTTGGGTTAATCACCTTCTCCCGGTTAATCACCCGTTCTTTGGTTAATCATAGTCCGCCTGTTTAAACCAACCTTTTTTGAGTTAATCACGTTCTCTTGGTTAATCACTAATTCTTTTCAGTTAATCACAATTTGTATGTTAACATACTGAGCTTCTTTTGAGTTAATCACCTTCTCTTGGTTAATCACTCATTCTTTTCGGTTAATCGCAATTCGTTTGTTAAAACACCAAGTTCCCCGACGGTTAGAAACCTTTCTTTGGTTCAAACACTCACACCTTTGGGTTAGTGACCTTCTTTTGGTTCAAATACCCTTTTCTTCGGTCAAGCACTGCTTATTCAGTCAAAGTACCGAATCTCTTTGGGTCACAACCTTCGCTTGGTTCCACACCGTCCTTTCATTTAACCACTGTTTATCAGTTAACACACCGAGCTCTCCAGAGAGTCTAACACCTTCTCTTGGTTTGTTACTCTCCTTCTGGTTCACCATATTCCGTCTGTTGACACCAACCTTTTGCTTTTCCCACAGAGTCTTATTCTTCTCTTTCTTCGGTTAATCATTGTTTGCCAGTTAATGTACTGAATCCCCTGTGGATCTTGCTTTACCTCGACTTTTTTCCTTTATTCCTTTAATCTCTTGGTTTGACACCATTCTCTTATTTTCTCTCCAGTGGAGTCACCACCATTCTTCTGTATTCCTCAGCAGAGTCTTCCTTTGCCTTTCTTTCTTGATTTTGACACAATTCTTTTGCATTCCCATGTAGGGTCTTGCTACCTCCTTTTACTCTTGGTTTCGACACCATTTATGTTTCTTGTTCCTTCTCCGTCTTTGTTTTCCGAACTACATAGGCTCTGAATTCCTCATTGCACTATGAGGATACGTAGGCTCTGAATTCCTCTTGGCGAGCCACCTTCTCCTTTCTCTTTTCTGGTTCCATGAACTACAGAGCTCTGAATTCCTCATTGCACTATGAGGATACATAGGCACGAGGGCCCTAATCCTCCGCAGGCACTTCTTTCTCTCTTCCTCCTTCTCTCTTTCTCTTTTCTTTAGCTAGTAGCTTTTAGATAGATAACCCATCCAAGCCTAAAATTAAGATTAAGCAAAACAGTTCTCATCGAGTACGACGGATGCGTGAGATGCTAATTCATTCTTCTCGCATAACCGACCCCCTTACCTATTTCTCTTCCCTTTGGGTTTTACCGATATTTTTCCTGTCCTTTGGGATTAAATAAAGTTCGGTGGCGACTCTGTTGTATCTTTGAGTGTGTGATTCACTCAGGTATAATCCCGCTAGCTTCAATTGTTAAATATTATTATTGATTATTATTATTTTTATTTATATTGTTTAGTATTCTTGTTTATTATTATTGTTATTATTATTTATTGAGTAATTTGTTTATTTTGAATTGTTAAAAAGAAATTTGATTTTGGTCTCGTCGGTTTTTCACAAATGCATTTCAGTTTTGAAATTAAAATTCAATTTAATTTTAGAAACTGATTGAATGCATAGAGTTTTGTTGACCGTCCTCAGATAGAGTTGATCCCTACTTGAATTGTTTTATGATTGTTTAACATAGCGCTAAATTCTTTAATTTGTTTGTTATTTTATTTTCCTTAAAAAAATAGTTTTTGTCCGATCGATTTTTCACAGATGCATTACAGTTTCAAAATTAAAATTCAGTTTAATTTCAAAAACTGTTTGAATGCATAGATTTTTGTTAACCGACCTCAGATAGAGTTGATTCCTACATGAATCGCTCTAGGATTGCTTACCATAGCACTAAATTTTAATAGTTTAAAACACTGATTTATTTTCAATCTCTTCTTTTTCTCTGATTTATTTTCACATTATTTTCATTTTTTTACATTTTGCTGCTTACAATTGTTTATTAAAGCTTTCATTGTTAATTACGGTATTGTATATTCCCATTTGACAAATTGTACCCTCATTTCCACAAATATTTAATAATTTTATCCCTTTACTTTATTGTTTTATTATCTTAGTTGATCGTTAATTCAAAGATTAAAATCAACAACTTTTAGAAAAGAACAAAATCAAATACTCGATCCAACGTTGAGTCTCTTTCCCAAATCAAAAACTATTAATACTTTCCATTTCTCAAGCATCTTCAAACCCTCAAATCATTTCATCATGTTTCAGTTCAAGCGCAAATAAAAGCCTTGATCCAACATCGAGCGTCTTTTATCCAATTCAAACTAAAATACTTAATCATACTTAAACACTGTTTCAAAAAGGGTGAAAAGGAAGATGGTCTAGAGCCTATGATTCCTCTCCTCAATTGTTTGGATACGAGTTGCCTTACTCGATCATTCGAGCAATTGTCATCCATTAAAAACTTTTAATCTGATTCACCTCAAACCGCTTTCATAATCAAACTTAGGTCAAACTCATTTTCGTAAATAACTTGGACGAAAAGGGAGGTGGTATAAAGTCTTTTATTTCCTTCCCCGAGTATTTGGATACGAGTAGCCTTACTCGGTCATTCAAGTATTTATCGTCCATCTAAAATACATTAACCTTATTTAAATCCTTTTGCAATTAAGGATGAAAAAGGATATGGTATAAAGCCTTCTATTCCTCTTCTCGATTATTTGGATACGAGTAGTATTACTCAGTCATTCGAGTAATCGTCATCCAACAAAACATTCAATCAATCTAAATTTCTTTTTTCCCTTGGCCTCCAAAAACATTTTCATTAACGAGTATGCTTTATCCATATTGATGTGAAAGAAACAAAGGCTTTAGTCTCCAAGAGAGAGAAAAAAGTAAATGTTTAAAACACTCGATATGTCTAAAGGATTACTCTTTAAAAGCAATCAACCCAGTAGTTCTCTTTTAGTAGAACTTTGTAGCATTTAGTTCTTCATAGTACCTGAAGATATGTAGGAGCGGGATTTTGAAATCCTATTAGGCATCCCTTTAATAAAAAAATGTTCTTCTTTTCTTTCTTTTTCTAACTCGTTAAGTAGAAGAAAACAATTAACAATAACTAGCATTTCAATCGCAAATCTAGCTAAAAGGTTCCCGTTGAGTACAACGAATGTGAGGGGTGTTAATATCTTCCTCTTGTATAACCGACTCCCGAATTCGAATTTGGTTGCGAGGACCATTTTTTTTTTCTTTTAAGGGTTTTATTGATACTTTCCCTTTCTCTCTTGGAGAATAAATAAAGTACGCTGACGACTCTGTTCGAACATTCTTTTCCGCGAGCGTACGAACGCTTCGCGAAGGATCGTGTTTTTCGAGATGCGACAGATACCACATGCATTTTAAAGTAGTACGGATGAGTCTCATTGCATTACGTAAAGTTGTATTGTTTATGCCTATGGACTATTTTATGTAGTTGTTGAATATTTTTATTCAACTATCCTAATTGGTTGTATACACCATTAACATTATGATTGTATTTCTCACCCCTTTTTATTTGTTTGTGTGGCTTGTTGTACCGATGGTACATATATTCAGGTAGAAGAGCATTAGTTGTTGTTGTGTGAAAGAATTGGCATAAATACCTACTTCGTTTTATTTATCGTTTTGAATTTACTTAATATTTCTGTAGTTTGCCTACTGCGTATCTTTATTTTTATACCTTATGATATTCTAGAGTCAGACTTTAAGTTGGCTATCTTCTCTAGTAAATATAATGTTTAGATTTGATCCAAACCAATTTTTCCTACTTCACTTAGAGTCCTTAAAGATGTGGTTAGGGGTTTCACCTAGACCTTTTTTTTTTCTTTTTTCCAGAAACAGGGATGACATTGTTAAGAATGTTCTAACACATAGTTTTAACTCTTGGGTGGATTTAGATATTCCACATCTTTTTCCAAAATTTATCATCATCAACGTAAATGGAGTAGCTAGGGTTAGATATGCTAGAAAGAAAGGTCATGGAAGTAGTGCTAATTGAACTTAACCCTATAATTCTCCCCTCTGTTAGGCCTCCACATAATGGTATCATCTTTGTCTTGAGAGTCTAAAAGAGTTTGAAGGATCATATATCGGTCATAGGGTAGAAACAAGTCATTAATGAGGGAGAAGTTCCATTGATGATGAGTATCTTGATCAATTAAGTCCATAACCCAAAGCATATTGGTATCTAATGACTTCCAACTTAGAAATTTAAACAAGCCTCGATAAGGCAGCCATAGATCTCTCCACACATTAGTTTTTTCCATTTCCTACTTTTTAATAACAGCCTTGGAGTAGCTTGGCTGTTTAATGTCTCTAGTGGGATTAAACCAATTGGAATAATTACCATTAATCACTAATGTTAGTGAAATTACATTGACTTATAGTATCACCAAAAAGTTTAGCAATTTTGTTATTAGTAGGACGGTCCTTCTGCAAATTCCACATGATCTGGTTACAAGTTTACAATCAACAAGCAAAATCTCTTTTTCTTAATCAACAAGTACAATAAATCTGAATTATAGCTTATCATATATACACATATAAGAGAATGGAAGAAAAAAGAACACCAGTAAAATTAACTAATAAAATGAATAAAATTTTTAATAACAAAAAAATAAAATAAAGTAAAACACTTTTCAACAACAAAAATATTCCAGTTTAGATTCAGATTACAGAACTTTTAAAAAAAATTTCTTCTCTTGTTTTGTAGATAAACAAATCACTTTACATGGACCCACATGTCAGGTGCATTACAGAACGTGCACCAGATAAACCCCAAAAATTCCTTCTCAATAGACTGAAATTACCACACTACCCTTGCAACAAAACACCCTCTAAATCCACGACGGAGTCTCGTTCCTGCTCCTCCATCTTTCTTTCCGGCGGCGGAGGCGTCTCTTGAGGACGTGAGGTCCACCTGAAACAGTGTCCACCAGCCTCCAATGCATCCGAAATAGGCTTAATTACCAAAATACCCTCTCCAGTAACGGCACAACAGAAAGCACCGAGAAACACAACGAGCGAAACGACACCGTAAATATCATCCTCCGGATTCCAAAGAAACGTGAAAGCGAGAGCCACAACCTGAAGAGGCAAAGCCACCAACACAACGGAACCCAACCCGTAGATCCGGATCCGAAGCCCTTTGTTAATCACCAACGACAACACCCTCCAACACGAGAACAAAAACCAAGCACAATACGCAGCACCAAACGCCGCAAAAACGACGCTGTTTAAGAACGGGTAAGTGCAGAGAACGACGTCGTTTTCAAGAATCACCGCAGTTTGTCTCAAGAAGAACGGAACCTGATTCCCCAACGGATTATAGAAAACAAGCAAACCGTGAAGAACAACAAGAGGAACACACGTGAAGAACACGAAGGTAATAGCCCAAGCGTCGTTTGGTGTTTTTTTCTTAATGGAAGCGTTAAGGAGAAAAAGTAGCGTTACAAGAAAAGCCGGTTCGAAGAATCCAAGAGAAAGAACAACGCTGAGCTTACAGAGGTTGGCTTGTTGATAAGCGGCTAAGGATATATATTGATATAAATATCTTCTACGGAAGAACGGTAACCGGAGAAGCTCTACAACGGACCAGAGAAAAATGAAAAGAACGAGAAGAAACCGAACGGTCCAGAGGGAATTGAAGTTTTGTAAATAGGGTAATGATTTTGATTTGAAACGGAGGTGAAAAATGAAACAGAGAGATAAAACAGAGAGAACGATAAGAGAGGAAATGAAAGTTAGGGTGGTGATGTCAAAAGCTGAATTAAGGACTGGTGATGCAGTCATGAACAACATGGATCGAATATTGGAACAATTTCGATCGTCGTTAGTTTTGTTTTTGTTTATGTGTCAACATAAATATGAATTAGTTTGAGGAGATGATGGTTAGAGAGATGAGAAAATGGTGATCCTGGTGGCGGAGGTCGGAGAGGTGGTGGAGAGAGAGTGAGGTTAAGCATGGAAGAAGAAGATGAATGTTGTTGTTACGAGAATGAATAGGCATGTGGTTTTGGTTTGGGTTTAATTTTGGGCCGGATGGGACAGCGGGGACAAGAGAGAAGAGATTTGATTAAATGTTTTTGTTTTCTCTGTCTCTCCCACTACTCCCAATCCGGTGGGAGAGAACAGCTACGAAAAGATTGTGGGTTTTTTTAATTGAAATAGATAAAACCTGGCGCAGAGGATTATGAGAGTATAGTAGATACAGAGGAGAGAGAAATAGATAGAGAGAGAAGCTTTTAATTTTCTTCCTTTTTGATCGGAGGAAGAAAGCTGGCTTTTGTGGTGTAATGAGGAGAACCTTTTTTTTCGGTCCTTGCGGTTAAATACAACGTAATCTTGCCATTTTCTTTTCGAATTTTGCTTTGATTTTTACAACCTTATATTGGCTACTATTGTTTGCTTTATTTGGATGTTTTTAGATCTATTTTGTCCTATCATATGCTATATTATACTTAATATGATCAGATTTTATTGTTTTAATCTATTCATTTTTACCGGCTTTAACATTGGACATAATATCATGTTATTATTTATTTAGGTAAGTCCAGTTGTAAAGTTTTTGGGATAGTGAAATGAGTCAATGACAACTCATGTGGGGAAAGGCAAATTCAATGCTTGGCTGTGTTTGTTGAGTGGTGTTTGGCTTTGTTTGAGTTTGGCTCTCATGTTAATATCATATTCATTTATGTGGATAATCGTTTTTAAATAGGTTATCGCGTTTTGAACGTGTTTGTTACTGTTAAGTGATACAGTAGTTTTTAAAAAAAAAATTAAAATCATCCATACTTTATAACCCATTAATCCTATCATACAGGCTTCTCACTTTTCTATCATATTTTATATATATATATATATATATATATATATATATATATATATATATATATATATATATATATATATATATATATATATATATATATATATATATATATATAAGTTATTAAATTAGTTAATAATAAAAAATATAAGTTAAGGATGCAAAAAATAGATATATATGTTGAGTAATATTAGATGTTTTGGAAAAAAAATGAATAAAAAATTTCATAATAGAAGTAAGTAATATAAAATATAAAATTAAAACTATAGGTGAAACAAAAAGGAAAATAAGGAAATAAAAAAATTAATAAAATGAATTAATGGGAGGTTGTTTTTAAGTTATGTTTATGTATTGGTTTTAATGTCTGGTATGGTTAAACAATATGTTGTTATGAAAAAATTATGATTTTAAAGTATGGTGTAGTAATATAAATGTTGAAGTAGTTTTGAAATATATATTTTGTTTTATTTGTGTGTAGTTTGGTAACTGGTTTAGTAAGAGAAATTAGTTTGTTTGAATTTCTAATGTTAAAAAAGAATATGCTACAATATTGAGAATAGTTCCATTCAAATGAGAGGGTGAGTTAATAAAATGAATGAGTGTGCAATTGAAACAGAGATGGTAATATTGATGCAGAAAAATGTAAATGGCAGGAAATGTTTATAAGACTTTGTGATTGTGAATCTTTAGTTGTTGGACTTGTGATGAAGATATGTTTGACATATTATGTAGTTGATGTATTATTTTGACATAGTTTGGAGAGAAGTTGGTTTGACAATGTAGAAGTAATAATGTTTTTTAAATTATATTTGTAACCAGTAATTAGTAGTGGGTTATTAACTATTAGTGCTACTGAATATGATACGATAAAGTTGAGGTGATAAATAAGTGTAGTTATGTAAATAGAACATAGGAGGTATTATAAAGAATATTAATACGGTATGTAATAGTGTATGACAGGTTTGGAGGGTTAATTCATGCCTAAAAAGGTTAGAAATGGATAGAGTCGATATTTTATTGGTTTTACTACAAAAACTGAGTTTGGTAAAAGGCAGAGTCGATATTGTATTGGTTTTACTATAGAATTCAGGTTGTATTTTTAGGCAATGGATACGGTTAAACCACAAAAAGAAAATAGTTATGATATAATAAATAATTACTCACTACAAAAAAATTAAGGTTTTACGACACAAAAATTGCGACAGTTACTTGATAACCATCGTAACTCTAATATAGAGATGCGTTTCACGACAGTATACATCTACCGCCCTTACATTTTAAAAAAGATTATTAAATAATGACTGTTATCATTAAACCGTCCTACAAATAAGTTCACGACTGTCTCAAGAACCGCCCTAAATTTTATGTCACGATCACTACAAAAAATCATTGAATTAGCTAGGGGCATGGGCTAGGGGGAAAACCCCTCACTAAAATAAAACCATTTGCTTGGGGTTAAACCCCTAGCAAACTGTAAAATAGGGGAGAAAAAAATATAAACATTTAGCTAGGGGATACCCCTCGCAATGAAGGAGGGAAAATTTTTTGAATTTTGAAATGCACTTTTACTAGGGTTCAGCGCATTTTTTGGTGGAAAGGCTGATCAATTTGCGAGGGGGTAGCCCCTCACCATGTTACGTTCCCATTTTGCGAGGGGCAGCCCCTCACCAAATGCCCTACTTTAGTCAAATCCCACTAAAAAAGCAATTATTCCTCTGCATTACTCTGCAAAATGGTCTGCCACACGCAAAACGTGGCTAGGGGATGCTCCTCGCAAATTGCATGCTAGTAGGCTGCGTGGAGTAGCCCCTCGTAAATGCTGCCACGTCATGTGACCGTTGAGCATTGCGTGGAGTATCCCCTCGCAAAATAAAACATTAAATGCTAAATTTATTTCGCAGCCCACAGATTCATTTCTCTGTCTTCTCCATTTCTCCTCCCACATTAATTCTTCTTTCCCATTTCATTCTCAGGTTTTCTTCTCTTCTTCTTCCTCCTTCATCTTCCAACATTTATAAAAGTAAGTTATTTTATTTATGTATATTATTTTCGCATTTATAGTTTATTTTATTATTTAGATTTATTAATTAATTTTGTTTATTTATTTGTTTGTTGTATGTACTGTGAATAAAAGAAGTTATCAAATTTTTGTAACGAGGAACCAGCAACAAGGAAGAAGATCAAAAGGTACACACTTTTGTTATTTTTTAAAATTTTAGATGAATATTTATTTCAAAAATTATGTGTGTGGTGGCTGTTGATAAAATAAATTTTTACATAACATATTTATGTATAGTTTTACATAACAGATTTTAATATTTAGATTATAAAATAAATTTTAATTAAAATATTAATATTATATATATATATATATATATATATATATATATATATATATATATATATATATATATATATATATATATATATATATATATATATATATATTATAAAACATATTTATCTGTTATAATATAAAACATATTAAGATTTATATTATAAACACATTTAAAACATATATTATAAACATATTTATAAACAAATTATTATAAAACAGATTTGTATTATATATTATTTATTATATAATTATATTATTCTAAGTATAATAATATAATTATAAAATGTAATAAAAATTTATTATATATATTATTATTCTAATATAATTATTTCAATATAATTATTAAATTTTTAAAAAAATAATATAACTACTGGCTAGGGGCTAACCCCTCGCAAATCCAAAAATGGGGGTCACCTGGCTAGGGGCTTAACCCCTCGCAAATGCATTACACAGCTGGCTAGGGGATTCGCCTCTCACTAATTTAAGGAATCACGTGACTTAGCTAGGGGCTTAACCCCTCGCAATATGTTGTGACTTAGCTTGGGGGAGGATTACGGTCCGACACTAATAGAAGGTTCGATGAGATAGAAGAAAAGATGAAGAGCATTCTTGAAAACCAGAACACTATGGGACTTGACATGTCCAATCTGGGATTGATTCCGGGACTTAGGATTCCTCCAAAGTTCAAAGTACCAGATTTCGATAAATACAAAGGGACGACATGTCCAAAGGTGCATATCCGCTCCTATTTCCGAAGGATGTCAGCATACTCTAATGATGAGAAGTTGCTTATGCACTTCTTCCAAGATAGCCTGTCAGGGCCTTCCCTAGAGTGGTACATGGGTTTGGAACCTGTCAATATCCGGAGCTGGAAGGATTTAGCAGAAGCTTTTGTCCGACACTATCAGTACAATAGTGACTTGGCACCTAATCGAGTGCAGCTGCAGAATTTATCCCAAAGGAGTAATGAGTGTTTTAAAGAATACGCTCAAAGGTGGCGGGAGCTTGCCGCCAGAGTTCAACCTCCCATGGTGGAAAGAGAGCTAATCGATCTATTTGTGGGAACATTTCCTGGAATCTACTACGAGAAGCTGGTGAGTAACATGTCAGGAAGCTTCTCAGATTTGATTATCACGGGCGAAAGAGTTGAAAACGGCATAAAAATGGGGAAAATTCAAGCAGCGGAAGGGACCTCATCTGGAGGTGGAAGAAAGTTTTTTGGTGCGAAGAAAAAGGATAATGAAACAAATGCAGTGTACGGCTTTAACAACCGAAAAAGATACCTGGATCAGCGTTAGCAGAAACCGTATTACCAACAACCACCACAAGTAGCAAGTATTGTCATCCCAGCGACACAGCCTCCGCAACAACAACCACGTCAACAACAGCAGCAACGACCTCAACAACAGAATTATGCACCGAGACAGTTCCAAGATAGGAGAAGGGTGGCGGAAAGACACTTCGACACACCGCCAATGCCCTACGCTCAGTTACTACAACACTTAATTCAACTGCAGTTGGTCCAGAAAAGGACAATGGCACCTCTAAATGGGCAACCACCTCCTGGATATGACGCCAACACTAGGTGTGAATTCCACTCTGGCGCCCCCGGCCACAGTATTGACAACTGTAAAG